AACTGTGGTTAGGACCACATTTGGTGGAGGTTTGAGGCCTGGCTCTCTAAGCATCTGCGCTTTAAAGCACTGCCTGCCTAGGTTCCAAGTGCAGCGATACCACGACACAATCTACATCTAACGAAATCTAACGAAATACCCAAATGGCCAGTGATCCTAAACAGACTCTCGTTAACAGCAAACATATTAGATTTCTGAGCCAATAATTATGTTGGTTCGATGGACAAACAAAATCACATACAACTAAATGAGTAAGAGATTCAGAAAAAAAATAAATGCCAGCTTCCATTCCGCTCAGAGAATAGAGATAATTAAATGCAAATGTCAAGGACAACCACGAAACCCCCGCACACAGGACTGCACATTCTTAAATCCCCATGAGCAGCCCGGCTTCATCAAGGGCTTCCAGTCTTCTCCAGAACAAGTTTGGAGGGAAGACTGACTGTCACTGAGAGAACAGAAGGGAACAGGTCCTCCAGGGCAAGCCCGGCCCAGAGTGCATCCCTCACACAGAAGAAAAATAACCTCAAAAACCAACCAAACAAACAAAAAATACAAACCCAAAAAAACCCACAGCTCCATCCTGCACAAACAGAACAGCCTAATGAAGAAGAAAAACAGCCACAACCCCAAATCACGTTGCTGCCCTCTGTGTGTAAACACAGGAAACTGCAGGCACACCACCCGCGGTGTCTCCACGGTGGCTCCCCTGCAGCCTAGCACTGTACGTGCTACCTCCGGGCTTGCTGTTCTCCGTGCAGTGTGTCAAATAAAACCGTTTACTTTCTACTTCTGTCTAAAATGAGAAAATCCTTCCCTAACCTGCCCAAAACACCCTAACAGAGATTTTGATTTTTTTTTTAAGTTTTGGGGGAGCGGTATAAGGCAGGAGATTGATGATCAAACGTCTTAAAATTCTCTTATAGATAATAGATATCTATACACAATTACAAAAATGATAATGTTTAAATGACAACATCAGTGTGCTTAGGCATAACTTAGCAGATGAGATCTTATCCCTATGTGTGGTCCTGATAATAAAGTCACAGGGCAATGCAACTACAAGGAAACTCACCATGTTTGTGGATAAAGGCCAGCCCCTGCAGTATCTGATACATAATATTTCTGATGACTGACTCAGGGAACAGTTTGTTTCTGGAAGAAATGAATAGTCTGGTCACCAACTAAAAGGGAAGAAGGCTGATACTCTGCTGCCTCGTAGCCTCTGCTGGCTAAGGCATAATTAAAAGAGTCAGTTGTGCTAAATGCCATAGGTTTAAAATGGGAAAATAGCGATTTTTTTTTGGTTTATTTTGCTGTTTCAGAAAACCTCCGATCCAAAAGCGAATGTCTTACATAAACACTCAAGAGTTAAAGTCTAAACTGTCCCAATAAGAGCAAAACACCCTGGAAAACTATGAGTATCAAAAAACAATTACATAGACTTTGAGAAGTAGGGCCTGCATGTATTAGGTCCTTTTATGCTTCAGTTTCTACTGCATATTGGCACCATCCAATAAAAATACAGTTAAGAGGTAAATATAAGCCATGTTTTTTTTAGCAGCTACATTTAGCAAAAAGGAAATATTAAACTTAATTAAAAATTTATTTTAAGTTTATTTTGACTGGTGCGTAAGTATAAAGTGCATATTTATATAAATATAAAACAAAAATGCATATAATGTGATATTTTCATGTATGTATATACAATATAATGTTCAATCAGAGTGAATATTAATGTTTCAAAGACTTATTTCTTTATGGTAAAAACTTCAAAATTCTTGCTTCTATCTTTTGAACTATGCAATTTGCAATTGTTACTTACAGCCATTATTATACCATGGAAACTCCAGACCCTTTCACTTCTTAGTATCCTCTTACTGGTCTTTCTTCACCTCTGTCTTCCCACCTTAGTTTAAAAGGTGCATTTATTGCAACCCACAATCAGTACACAGTTGTTGCCGTTACTGCGTTATTCTTAGAATCGTGAGACCCTGTCTTAACGAAGCCCAGGCTACCCTTGAAGATGCTTCAGAGCTGAAGATGACCTGGTCTTATGAATGAAGCCCAGGATACCCCTGAAGGGGCTGCAGAGCTGAAGACGACTCTGCATCTTCTTGTCCTCCTTCCTCCACCTCCCAAGTGCTGGGATTACAGGTGTGAAGCTACCGTGCCTGGCTCATATAAAGATTATTAATAATTTTTATACTAAGTTTCCAAACTTGGTGTATAATTTATTTTGCGTTATAGCACAGTTCGATTTAATCATTTTAAGGGCTTGAAAGTCAAGTGAGGCCGGTGGCTACTACCTTAGATGTGGTATTTAGATAGTATCCATGGTAAGGTCCCCCAAATTAATTTCTGTCAGACTATGAGCTAAAATTATCAACAACTGAACATCAGAGTGAGAATGTGCTTCAGGCTGGTAACATTAATTTTCATCACTCATGTATCTCTAATGAATGAGTTCATCAGGCCCTCTGGGTGGGGGCAGGGTGGATGTCAGAATGTGAGCATTTACTTGTAGAGGCCAGAGCTTGGGGTTGGATGCTCCTCCAACACTCTCTTCCTTGAAACAGGGTCTCTCACTGAATCAGGAGCTCACTCATTGGCCAGACTGTCTGACAGATGAGCCCAGGGCTCTACCTGTTTCCCTTCTCCCATGTTGGGGTTACAGCCATCCACCTGACTTTCCTGTGTGACCCCTGAGGATCAGAACTCGGGTCCTCATGCTTGTCCCCAGGCCCTTCACCGACTGAGCCATTTCCCCTGCCTCATCTTGAAAGCTACCCTTTTCTTCATTTGTCCATAACTCTTCCATAAGATGCTTGAGAGGACAACGAAGACAACATCCTCATTTTTACCTAAAGCCAGCTTCACTTTTGAATATAAGACTACTGACGCCCTTCATTCGAAAGGGGAGGAATGGCTGGTGAGTTTGTATGATGTCTTCACGTTAGGAATTACAGTGGAAGAGTGGAGCGACCTCATAGCTGGTTCTTCAGTGTCAGACACTACCGTGTGATGAAATAACTGCATCAGTTCAATTAATTCAGCCTCTTCAAGTTATAAACCAGCATTTCATCAAGTGTGATGCACTGACAGGATCCAAGGAACGCATGGCGAAAATGACAGGGAAAATAGAGTTTTCATAAAATAAAGACATACCTGTCCTTCATTAGCTGATAGAGGTTTTCTTTCATATATTCAAATATAAAATAAAGGTGGTCATTTTCTCTGATAACTTCTTTTAGTTTAATCACATTGGCATGATTGAGTTTCTTCAGGGACTGCAAAAGCAGGGGAGCAATGCCATTGTTAAAGCAAATTTACAGAAATCTGCAGGACCTCATTTGTGCTAGCTAGTTACCTCAGGTAAACTGTCCATTTCTCTTAGATTCATTAACACATTACGTGCTAATATCTGCATTGTTTTAAAAGCGCTTGGAGCACCGATTTAAAGCAAACATTAATGACCTAAGCGAAGAGTACTGAGTGAAAAGGGACCACCAACGCGACAGTAGCTGCCCAGAGGGTCCACCGGCCACTTTCCCTCCTCATTTTCCAAAGCAGGTCTACCTGTCTCTTTCTGATTTACCCATGTCAGACTCCACGCAAAGTATCTAAAAACTCACCCAAGCCACACAGCATAGACTACAAGGGAAAGGCAGGTCATGATTTCAGAAGCTGCCTTCCCTTCCGGAGTGTGAGCTTTAAGGTCATCTTTAAGTAGAAGACGGCCCGGTTATTCTCTGTTCCCCACTAACATGGGAGCAAGGAGGAATGGAAAGGAAGGGGGCAGATGCAGGGGCATTTGGAAGAGTCAAAAACAGTGCTTCTCAAGCCGTGAGTCACAACCCCTTTGGGGATCGCATATGGGAAATCCTGCATATCAGATAATTTGCATTATGATTCATAACAATAGCAAAATCATAGGAAGTAGCAATGAAAATAATCTTATGGTTGGGGTCACAACGTGAGGAACTGTATTAAAGGGTCGCATCATTAGGAAGGTTGAACACCACTGGTCTACAATGGAATGATCTCAGCTGCTGTCCTTGGAGATGGTGTCCTGTTGGAGCCTTGACTTTTTTTACCTTAACTTCTCGCAAGTTCATACACTCATCCCAAGAATAGAACTTCCTCTTCATCCTGAAATAAATGAGGGAAAGCTAGTGTTCAGGAGCGAAGGCTGCAAGAAACAAATTTCACCACCTCTGGTGTTCTTGACTATGGCTTCACTTTGGGAAACCACTCTTCCTCCCCGGAAGGAAATCCCCTCCTTTCTGTTTACACCTCACAGTGCCACGTTTGGGCTCAGGTGTGCCGGGTCGGGGCCACCACTCTGTTTCAGCACAGTATGGCTGTCCTGAGCTTCCCTTCTCAGTGAGCTCTTTAACTGGGACTGTTTTTTAAAAGTCTCCCGTGTAAATTTCCTTTCTGGGATTTAAAAGATAAACCCAAACCCTATACCTCAGAAGCGGGACTGGGCGAAAGTTACAAAGTTTGGCAGCAAATTCAGTGAAGGACTTAATCTAACAACATTTACATTACTAGTTCTTTGGATAAGGGATCATGAAATGCCTTAAATCAGGGAGAGAAAAGAAAACAAACAAGCAAAACCAAAACCAAACCCACAGGTGAGCCAGACTTAGTCTTTCCTTTTCTGCTTTCTTCGTGGGGTCGGGGGTGTGGAGTGGGGGGGGGGGTGGCGGCCGGGGACTGACCCCGGAGCCTTTCTCGCGCTCTACCCTCTTCCCTATTAGACACAGTAGAATGTTTAGCATAGGAAGTAATTGCGCTGCTCAGACAACAGATGGAGCATATTTCTGTGTGAATGGAGGTTTAGTCACTGAAGGGAACAGGACAAGAACAACAACGTGCTGCGGGAGCGCCTTCCGCTCTGGTCAGCCAATAGCCGCTGAAATACCAGCCCACTGGGGCGTGGTCTATTGCTCTTTTTAATAGAGCCGCAGTCCTCTGCTAGCTCTCTTGGTTCTGGCTCTTGCTCCAGCGACTAGACTCCTTTCCTGACTGTCGGTGTTCTGTAAGTTTTACCCCTAAAATAAATACCCCTTTAAATCCAAACTGGTGTGGCATTGTTTCGCGCATTAACAATGTGCGAAGTGTGGAGGTATATGCCAGTGCTCAGGGGACAGAGGTGGCAGATCTCTGTGAGTTTGAGGCCAGCCTGGTCTACACAGTGAGTTCCAAACAGCCAGGGTTACATAGTGAGTTCTGAACAGCCAGGGCTACAACATAGTGAGATCTTGTCTCAAAACAAAACAGCCCTCCTCCAAACCTAACCACCCAACTATGCCCATGACTGACTGCACTTAGTGGTATGGCCTCTGTGCTCATTTTTATTGTCAACTTGACTGGCTTCAGAATCACCCAGGAGACACCTCTGGGTGCGTGTGTATGAGGGTGTTTCCAGAAGAGTTCAGTTGAAGAGGGGAAGACACACCTTGAATGTGAGTGACCCCAACCTACAGATCCTGGGCTGAATAAAAAGGGAAAAAAAGCGAGCTGACGCCAGAGTTCATCTCTGTCTACTTCAGAACAGCCGAGGTAGTGTGGCCACTCTGTCGCCAGGCCTCCCCTTCTATGACGGATTGTACCCCTTCTCCAATCATGAGGCAGAAATAAGCCTTTCTGCCCATAGGTGCCTCTGTCTAGCATTTTGTCACAGAAGGGAGAAAATGATACACTCTCCTATTGATGATTTGTAGACCACCAGGAAACTGAGAGTGATTCGATGATGTGGGCTAATTTCTAAAATGCGGGGCCTCGTAAAGTCAGAGCGCACATGTGGGGAACCGGGTAAGGGACTGACAGCGAGAGGGAGTTAAGATGTGGGCTGTGGAATTGCACAGCTGGGTGCAAGTCCTTGTTCACCTGCTCATGGATGGATGGCCTTGCACGGCCTCTCTGTGGCTCAAATGCCTTCCCATGGGGCATGTGCTACTGTATTACAAAGCATATTGAAAACTTAGTGGATATTCTTTTGTTTCTGAGTTTTCTATGAACCATCATGAGACATGAAGGGTGTCATTGCTATAATTTTTAAAGTATCCTCATTGAATTAGAATTTCACTTTAGAGTCCTTCAGGCTCTCTAAGGAAGCTTTGGGAATCAGTTTGGTGAAGATCAGGACTTCCCCAAAGGCACTTTGCAGTGCGATGGGTTTCTAGAAAGTTGTTACTTCCCAAACGACAGATCTAACATAATGGCTTTAAAGCAAAAATCAATTGAAATAAAGCCATACAGGAAAACTAGTTTAATAAAATGATTACATTCATCCCAAAGTGTACATAGGAGATGCCAATTCTTTACAAATTGATTTCAGAATTTAAAAAGTATCTGATCTTGCTTGAGGATGCTGAGGGGGCATATCCTTTTCAGAATTCATTTGACATTATAAGTCCAACCTTATCTTGACGCTATTGTTTTCAAAGAAACAGTAAGTTCTAGTTTGTTCCCCATGTTTAACTTTGAGAAACATTCGCTACTTCCACTTTTATCCCAAATGCATCAGGCATAAAATGCAGAGCCCTCAGATTTATGCGGTTTATTTATGTATCAGAATAAAGCAGAACATTAAAGTCATGCAGACTTTTCCTTCATGTAAGAATCCTCCTTTTTGCTAACTTTCTGTTTCCTAGAATAGTGTCCCTCACCACTCAAACTACTTTGGGGTCTGAACTGAAACCCTCTCCCTGATGCTGCAGGTTCTCAGGCAAGCAAAGGGAAACAAACACCCAACATTTAGACGGAAACTCCGCGGTGCCGCGCACGCACACACCTCTTGATGGCCACCAGCTCCCCGGACTCGTTGCTCTTGCCCATGAGCACACTCCCATAGGTGCCATCCCCCAGCTGCCTCATGGTTGTGTATCGGTTCATCTTGGGAAAAGGTAGTGCAGCAGAGGCTGTTCACGGAGATATCTTCCTCCTTGTGCAATAGAAATCTAAATACTTCTTTATTTGTGGTCCTTTCCCTTCTTGTTGCTATACTGGTGACAGGCTTGTCATCATTAAATATGGCTTTTCCTCGAGATCAGGTAGGCTCATGAGATACAGCAATAAGGAATCTGGCCGAGAGACACTGCTTCCATTGTTATGGACATCCTGTGAAAAAGCACACCAAAATGCGTCATTAGAGAGTCCCGACAGCAGGTTTACTGACACCTAGACACAGAAAGATTAGAGCTGATAGTAAGGCCATTGTTGGAGGCTATTCGGGCGGTGTGGAAGGAACTCTACACACAACACACTCACAGGCCACTTGACGATTCCCTGTCCCTGCACTATCCACTATCTGAGGGCTTTCTCCAAACGCACATCCTGGGGGCACACGCAGACCTCTTTTTCTGTAACACCTAAGGTTAACATCCATATCTAACAGCCACCTTCATATCTTCTGAAGATGAACACCATACTTGGGCAGTCCTATTCCAATGCTCTCCACTGATTCAGTCATGTCCTTAAACTGCACCTCCCTCTCCAGCAGAGAATCCAGGCTGTGGTCAGTTACTGCATTTAGTGGTCATGTGGCTTACTTACTGCAAATGAACTTACTGCTTTAGGGGTCAAGTGGCTAGAGCGTTTCCAAGTGACCAGTTTGAAGAAGTTCACAAGGTAACCACTCTCGGGTGTGTGGGGACTGTACTTGAGCTTTTCATTATGACCCGAGTAACTGAAATTTACTTTAAAACTATTATTTAAAAAATAAACTCAGGCCCTGAAGTGGCAGCACACACCTTTCGCACACCTTTAATCCCAGGCAAGAGGCACGAACAGCTTTGGGAGTTCAAGGCCAGCCTGGTTTAGTAAGCAAGTTCCAGGATAGCCAGAGCTGTTTCACAGAGAAACCCTGTCTCAAAAAACCAATAAATAAATAAATTCTGAATTAGAATTGCTTTATATCACCTTTTTTTTTTTAAATTTCAAAAATACAGAAATGTAATAAAACAATCAAGGGACAGAGTGTGGCCTCAGACCAGGAGTTCTCCTCAGAATGTGTAGGAACAGAAGTGATTTGGATTTAAATGTTTTTGGACTTTGGAATATTTACATATATATGTTGAAGTAGCATAAGAATGGGACTCAATTCTAAACCTGAAATACATGCATGTTTCATGGACACCTTCAACACACAGTTTGAAGGTGATTTTATGTGATGTTTTGGTGAGCTTCAGGCTTGAGTGTGACCTGTCACGTGATGGTAAAGTGTGCAGTTTTCCACTTTTGGAGTTAAAGCACAATGCAAAAAAATGTTGATTTTTGTGAAATAGCATGAAATATCTCGGAGTAACTCTAACCAAACACGTGAAAGACTTGTATGACAGGAACTTTAAATCTTTGAAGAAAGAAGTTGAAGAAAACACCAGAAAGTAGAAAGATCTCCCATGCTCGTGGGTAGGTAGAATTAACATAGTAAAAATGACAATCTTACCAAAAGCAATCTACAGATTAAATGCAATGCCCATCAAAATTCCAGCAAAATTCTTCACAGACCTCAAAAGAACAGTACTCAACTTCATATGGAAAAGCAAAAAACCGAGGATAGCCAAAACAATCCTGTACAATAAAAGAACTTCTGGAGGCATCACAATCCCTGACTTCAGACTCTACTACAGAGCTACAGTATTGAAAACAGCTTGGTATTGGCATAAAAACAGACAGGAGGACCAATGGAACCAAATTGAGGACCCAGATATTAATCCACACACCTTTGAACACCTGATTTTTGACGAAGAAGCAAAAAAATATCAAATGACAAAAAAAAGCATATTTAACAAATGGTGCTGGCATAACTGGATATCAACATGTAGAAGAATGAAAATAGACCCATATCTATCACCATGCACAAAATTCAAGTCCAAATGGATCAAAGACCTCAACATAAAGCCAACCACACTGAACCTTATAGAAGAGAAAGTGGAAAGTACACTTGAACGCATTGGCACAGGAGACCACTTCCTAAATATAACCCCAGCAGCACAGACACGGAGAGAAACAATTAATAATAGGGACCTCCTGAAACTGAAAAGCTTCTGTAAAGCAAAGGACACGGTCAATAAGACAAAACGACAGCCTACAGAATGGGAAAAGGTCTTCACTACCCCCACATCAGACAGAGATCTGATCTCCAAAATATACAAAGAAATTAGTCATCAAAAGGACAAATAATCCAATTAAAAAATGGAGTACAGATTTAAACAGAGAACTCTCAGCAGAGGAATCTAAAATGGCTGAAAGACACTTAAGGAAATGTTCAACAACTCTGAGATTCCATCTTATACCTGTAAGAATGGCCAAGATCAAAAACACTGATGACAACTTATGCTGGAGAGGTCGTGGGGAAAAGGGAACACTTCTGCATTGCTGGTGGGAATGCAAGCTGGTACAACCCCTTTGGATGTCAGTGTGGCGGTTTCTCAGAAAATTAGGAAACAACCTTCCTCAAGACCCAGAAATACCACTTTTGGGTATATATCCAAAGGATGCTCAATCGTACCACAAGGACATGTGCTCAACTATGTTCATAGCAGCTTTGTTTGTCACAGCCAGAACGTGGAAACAACCTAAATGTCCTTCAGCCGAAGAATGGATAAGGAAAATGCGGTACATTTACATAATGGAGTACTACACAGCAGAAAAAAATAACATCTTGAATTTTGCAGGCAAATGGATGGAGCTAGAAAACCCAGACCTAGAAAGACAATTATCACATGAAGTCACTCATAGTGGTTTTTAAACATAAAGCAAAGAAAGCTAGTCCAAAAAACCACAATCCCAGACATCAATGAGGACCCTAAGAGAGGCATGCATAGATCTAATCTACATGGGAAGTAGAAAAAGACAAGATCTCCTGAGTAAATTGGGAGTATGGGGACCTTGGGAGAGGGTTGGAGGGGAGAGGAGAGGCAGGGAGGGGAGGAGAGAAAAATATAGAGCGCAATAAAAATCAAAAAATAAACTTAAAAATAAAAGAAAATAGTTGATTTTTGTGAAATGATGGACTCCTTATTTCTGGATTATTTGCTAATTTACATTTGTTAATGAGTCAAATGAGAAATGTATTGACACACATAAACCCAACAAAAGTTCTCTAATGCTCATGTGAAACTCGGGAAAGTATGGAATACAGACATTTTCAGATTTTACTAAAGCAATATGGTGGTCATATCTATGTCACTGATGCCTTCAAGTAGCATGGTCGTACACCTGTAGACAAACTTATGGAAAGAAAGAGCAAAGCAGACGGACAGTGTGTGTGTGTGTGTGGGGGGGTGTCATACCATCCGGCTCCTGCTGTCACAAAGGAGTTTACGCAACTTTGTTTTTAAAATTTCATTTTCCAGAGCTTTGTGGGCTTCAAAACCACAGATGTGAAAATATTAGAATGGTTCTGCAGGGCTCCTGGGCTCCCGCGGGTCTTGATTTTGTTACTGTAATTGAATAAAATAAGGTACAACCTAACTCACAGTTCCCTCCATTGTTCTACTTTCAGTTCAGGCAACTGTTTTTTAACTCGTGTCTCTTGATTGTTCTTGGCTTCCAGAAATCTCTCACTGTGCTAGAAACTGTAAGGACAGGGAAAATTTTAAGAAACTTTGCTTGATCAGGAGCTGGTTAAGGCACTGGGTTCAAGAAACTTTGCTGCATCAAGAGTTAGCTGGAAACAGGAACCTTTGCAAAAGTACAGACCAACTGTCCCTAGCAGCCAGTCAGCACCCAGCATTGTGGTCCAGACAGGAGGAGAAATAACTGCTTGAGGAGATGGCAGGGGGTATGCACAGAAGCAGAAGTAGCTGCTTACAGGAGGAAGAGGGTACGCAGAAGGAGTCCATACCCTGTACTGAGCAAAACTAACCCCCTTGACCCTGAGTAAACCTGGCTTGCGGGTTTTTGCCTGTACGTGTCAACCCTAAATGTGGAACGGGAGCTCTCCCTACTGTGCTACGTTGTATGTAATGGGGAACTCCCAGCTAGCTGGCAAAAGAAATAAACCTTGCTTTTGCATTCTGGACTTGACTGGATTCCAGTGGTCTCTCTGGGGGTCTCAACTTGGGCACAACAGAGACTATGCTTGGTTCCCGAATAGCACCATTAGAAGACAGCTTGCTTTGAAATATCCCTTCTGGTTTGGTCCTGCATTCTAGGGTTATTTTCCTCCCACCGGAGTGCTTCCACTTTCATGAGGTAAAACTCAAGAGATGCTTCTCTCTGACAGATGAAACTTCAGGCCCAACAACCAGGTGTCATAGCTGTCAAAGTCCCCAAGGCATCCCAAAGCAGGCTATCTGAGAAAGAAGCATCCGTGAACGCACACACGCACAGCAAAAATCACATAGTTCCCTGTTTTCAGGGATGTATTTGGAATGCTGTAGGGCTTTTAGATCAGAAGAGTATCTATGCATTTAACACTTCTTCTTCAGAGAGTAAACTGTCGGGGACTGTGGACCCCCAGACCCTGAATTTCCTGTGAACAACTTGTTTTTCCTGCGCTTGCAGCTGCTCTGAACAAAACCATTTGTTTTCCTGTGTTTGCAGCTGCTCTGAGCGCTGGTGGCTTGCAGCTGAAGGATCCTGAGAGTTAGGGCGTGGCCATGGTCCGGGGAAGGCCCTATCTAAACTGCCCTGGAACACAATAACGTTGGCATTCTTGATTCAAATTGGCATTCTTGTTTCAAGAATGACCCATGACTCTGTGTGTTTCCATCTCCAGCCCCTTGCCTGGCTCCCATACCATACCATATTGTAGCGTGAATAGCGCATAGAGCACGGAGTGCCAACCGTCTCTCACTACAGGCACAGTACACTTAGAAGTACGGACACTGCAAGTAGTACGGACATTACAGGAAACATTTCCTTTAAAGACACATGGAAACAGGCTGTGTAACCCCATGGTAAGGTCTTGTAATTGTAAGACCCCTGTGGTGGTTTGAATAACAATGGTCCCCATAGACTCTATGCTTGGTCCGTGGGGAACGGCACTATTGGGAGGTGTAGCCTTCTTGGAGTAGATGTGACCTTGTTGGAGGAAGTGTGTCATTGTGGAGGTGGCCTTTGAGGTCTCATATATGCCTAGTACACAATCTCTCCTGCTGCCTGTGGATCAAGATGTAGAACTCTCAGCTCCTTCTCTAGCACCATGCCTGCAAGCAAGTTTCTTGCCATGATGATAATGAACTAAATCTCTGTACTGTAAGCCAGTTCCAATGAATGTTTTCCAATATAAGAGAATTGTGGTCATGGTGTCTCTTCACAGCCATAGAAACCCTAACTAAGACAATGCCATTTATATTTAGGGTTTCTTTATCTTCCTCAATGTATACCTAGGTGAAATGTCTTAAGGAATGCCAGCAAATGGCTTCTGGTTTGCCTGGTGTGTGTGTGTGGGGGGGGAGAGAAATGAGTTTTCCTAAACTGTATTTATTCTATACACTCAGACACCAATCAAAATATCAAGGTATTAATGTAGAAAAATCACTGTAGATGGTTCTTAATTGAAATGTACTTTTCTTCAGTTTTCCTTTTCCTGCATGAGCAAACACAACTGGGAAAGGTGTTTGGGGGTGTGTGTTCTGTTCTGTGCCCCCTGCTGGGTTAGCCACCCACAGACGAAAGGACATTAGCTGCATTTGAGTTGCTTCTGCAGATGATGACAGCATGCCGGATTGCTGCCCTGTCTCCCAGTTACCCCTGCTCAGGGGCGCATGTCTGTTTCGAGGAAATGAGCTCCCTAGAGAAAGGTTTACTGATCCTTTCTGGCTAAGTAACAGAGAATTTGTTTAGGCAGAAAGCTGTATTACAACATATCATCTCCATTAGTAAGAATGTAAAACAAACCCACAGGGAGTGAAACGGACTGTTTATGATCAACCAGAGACCAAAGGATGGAGTCCATCCGATGCTCAAGTTAGGCTTGAAGCGCTTTGGTGTCTGCGTGTGATGTCCAACAATAACCACCATTTTTGCCTTTACAGTTGCTGCACTTCATAAAGGAACCATCCCCTTTGTTCCAAAGCTACACAGCCTCCGTACCATAGCACAACCACAAGACTCCTAGCCCAGTTCCTCTCCTTGAGACATCAGCATACAGCTGTCAATGGGCAGGGTCATGTGGCTGTCAGTGGACAGGGACCTGTGGCTGTCAATGGAAGAACCTGTGGCTGTCAGTGGACAGGGACCTGTGGCTGTCAGTGGACAGGGCCTGTGGCTGTCAGTGGGCAGGGACTGGTGGCTGTCAGTGGACAAGGGCCCGTGGCTATCAATGGAAGGGGCCTGTGGCTGTCAATTGACAGGGGCCCATGGCTGTCAGTGGGCAGGGACCTGTGGCTGTCAGTGGGCAGGGACCTGTGGCTCTCAGTGGACAGGGACCCATGGCTCTCAGTGGACAGGGACTGGTGGCTGTCAGTGGACAGGGGTCTGTGCTACCAGCCACTCCCCACCCTGAAACCTGGAGCTGCCCCTGGATCATCCTGATTTCTGGAACAACACTAGAAAGGCCTTTGAAGCCACGACAAGAAAGGACGTGTGAGACACTAGGACCTGGACGATTAAGGCAGAAAAGTCTACATGAAGCATCGCCATAAAAATAACCTAATTCTGAGGCTAGAGAGGTGGCTCAGTGATTAAGAGCATTGGCCGTTCCTTCAGGGGGCCCCAGTTTGAGTCCCAGCACCCCGGATATCAGTTCGCAACTCCAGTTACAGGATACACAGGGCACAGACATACATGCAAGCAAACTCCTCATACACATGTGATAAAAGAAGTAAATCTTAAAAATTTAAGATATAATTCTGAAACACGCTGGAGAAATGGCTCAGCGAGTAAGAACAAGGCCCGGGGACCCCCCGAGGACCTGAGTCTGGCTACCTAACAAGCACAGGAAAACCTGGGTGTGGTCACATGTGCCTCTGACCCCACAGCTTTGGAAGACAGAGACAGGAGGATCCCTGGTGTATCCTGGCGGCCAGCCTCGTCCCGATTCAGTAGGGAAACCCTGTCTCGTGGAAAGTGACACAGCAGGACACCTGCCTTCTTCTCGAGCCTGTGCACACACCGCACACGCAGACAGAATGGCGCGGTGACGACACCCTTTAACTCAGTTATTCTCCTGATAACAGCTGACCGAGCGCAAAGCATTGAGAGCATGGAAGAGGAGAGCCATGGTCCCGAAAATGTCTACACTGTTTTAGGAGAGGATGCAAGAGGCGACACTGGTAAGCAAAGTGGAGGGGAGAGGGTGGGCTTAGGGGTGGGTGGTATTCAGGAAGTAGAAACAGAAGGTAAGAGGGTAACTTTGCATCCACTTCCCAGCCGCTCCTCATCCTTCCACTATGGGGCCCATCAGCCACCATCACCACCACCCTGAAGGGGAGGGCCACCCTGCCTCTCTGTGCCCAGTATCACAGCCAACAGACAACCCGGTCAAGGATGACTCTCTGCCTTGCTCTGGAAGCTAAACCGTTTTTGACAAGGCTATTCTAGAAGTTTCATTTTTAAGGCGGACTAACCAAACACCGGATAAACAATGGAAATGAAAAAGTCTATTTTGGGGACAGTGACGGCAGGGCCTATGGTTAGAGGTAAGGGCTAGTCAACAGGGACCACAGCCATTTCCTGGTGGTGTGTTTGGGATGAAGTGAAGATTATGTGGATGCCACTAGATACTGAGAATCCATCCATTTCAAACCTCACCTACTCTTTAGGTAAAACATGCTTGTGTCCTAGACTTCCTAAGACACAAAACCCGAAAGCTTTAGCAAGGCTTTCTCCCGAGTCATGTGAATTAAAACAGCAAGCAGGTCTTCAGGGCCGGAAGGTGATTCCCATTCCTCCCACTCTCTGAAGATAGAGGGACAATGGCACAATAGAAGGCAGCACAGATGTGAAGGCAGCGTGTGTGTGTGTAGGCCAGAGGTCAGCCCCCGTGTCCTTCTGCACGCGGCCCACCTTGTTCTGAGATGGAGTCTCTCACTGGCCAGGGACTTGCCCACTTGGTGAGGCTAGATGACCAGTAAGATTCATCTGTTTTTGCCCTTGAAACTACAAGTGTGTGTTTGTCTGTTTTTTTTCTTTTCCTCTCACATAAATTCCGTAGACTGAGCTCAGAACCTCATGCTTGTGTGGTGCGGGGCAAGCATGTTCCCATCCCTGAAGTTAGAAATCAAAATATTTCCATGCACAGCCTTGCCGACTGCATATCAATAGCTACTTTTTACCAGTAGAGCACAGCAAGGCCCTGAACTAATTACGACTCAAAAAAAGTCTTATATCTAATTTAAGTAAAAGCACAGTTCCCTGCCCATGGGTCTTCATCTCACACGCAACATCGCTGCTCTAAATCTATGAACGTAACACAGTTGTTAAGGACTCCGAATTTTGAGCAGTTCAGACATACCATTCATCCACCCTCCTGCAGGTTAAACACATATTCCATGCTGATATTAAAAGGACATTCATTTAGACTTTCAACCATAGGACTGCAAAAATCTCCATTCTCTCTTATTTACTTTTATCCAAGTGTATAATTACAACACAAATGCACAGTAATTGTCAATTCTCTACTAGCTAATAAGGGATTTAAATAAGATTAAAAGGGATTAGTGTGGAGGGCAGATGGAGGGTAAAACGGGCCTGCCAGTCACCCAACAGAAACGGTTAGGATACGTCTTAGGAGAACATATTATCATAACATTTCAATGCCACCATTAATTTTTAAGCTAAACCGTAGTGTTTTAAGAATTTTTGTATCAGCTAAAAACAAAATAGAGGAATAAAAAAAAGAAAGAGAATCCACACTAGTCAAGTGGCAGACTTATTTATAGAAATCAAAAGAGGGATTATTGTAACAGGAAAAGAATATTCCCCCACCCCCCAGCCTGAATCCCATGTCGCCCAGGCTGGCTTTGAACTTGGCTATTAGCTCATGATAGCTTTGAATTCTTGGTGTTGATATAGACTGAGGTACCATACCAGGCAGGAAAAGATTCTACCTCAGATTGTAAAGCTACAAAGACAGCTCTGTGCTAACATTCACAAACTGTTTAAAAGTTAACCCACGGCACGCAGAGCTCTAACACCCTGCACAAGGCCAGTTCTGATTAAAACAGGTCACCTCTACAAGAATCCTTTGCCATTACAGCAAATGACATAGTGTCAACAAATGACATTAGTCCCTGTGCCCCACATCTGTGCCCAGGTTAAAGGCCCAAGTGCGGTAAAGAGCCAGTCTTTGTTTGGCACACTTTAATCCTTGTGAGCTAAGTCTCTTGGAGCAGATGTCACTGGGGTTGGGAGGAGGAGGTTCTGACCCCGGAGGGTGGGTCTCCCGGGCTTGGAGAGGACACCTAGACCGCTCCTCAGTGCAGGAGCTCAGCTCTCACCTGCTTGCAACCTTGAATGCTCCGAGCAGGTCTGGAGTTGGACCTTCTCTTTCTCCTCCCTCCATTTCTACTTTATGAGATCTGAACTCGGCTCTGCTTCCCCTCAGATTCAGTCCCGTGCCTCACTCCTAAAAGTAGTTTCCACTCATCCAGAATATCCTCAGGATGTGTAGGGGACCCAGGACATCAGCTCAGCCTAGGGATCTCTTTGCAGACGTGTTAAGGGAGGATAGCGCCAAGTCCTAGAAAGCCCTAGGGAGCCTGGAAAACTCTGGGGAGTCCTGGGGAGCCTGAGGGACCCTGGGAAGCTTAAGGAGCCCCGAGAGCCAGGCCCCTGCCCGCGTCCTCCCGTTCCCCAGCCCGTCGCTCCGCCCTGGGACCCTCCTCTCGCCCGCCCGCCCGTACCGGCATCCAGGTCCCGCCTCCCGGCGGAGAGTGGCCCTGGCTGGACGGAGAGCCGAGGCGACATGCCGGGTGGCTTCGATGCTCAGGTCGGGCTGGGTCCCGCAGCCTGCTCGGGATTACCCGCCGGCGCTGGCAGCTTACCTCGATCACTCCCTTGTGAAGCTCCAGCGCCCTGTGTGTTTCGTATCCTAGGAAACGGCCAGGGCGCGCCTGCCCGCGCAGCTAGCCCCGCTCACACCACGCCCACAGAGGGCGGGGTCGAGCGCGACACGCTCCGCCCACCACCGTAAGTACCGCGCCTGCGAAGGTACCGCCTGTCTATTCTACCAGTTCATCGTTTTTCTTTAAATGACTAATAGTATTTATTTATTCTTAAAACATTTCTTATTATTATAATTCACCCCTATAATCGGGCCTTTCTAGATGTTGTGGCTTTCACAATGTGTAAGGTGATTCAGGTCTTGTCAGGAAATACCTTGAAACTGACAAGCTAGAGCACCGGATAGAGAACTTGGATACATATGCCTTAGCATGCTGGAAGTGTACGTGGTCCATTGGCACAAAGGAGGGCTGTCCACCCACCACAAACAAGCCCTAAGTGGCGACAGGTTGAGAACTAGACTTTCCATGGATATGTAAATCAAAGGATGAATTGACTCACAAATGTTAGACACTTTAAAACGAATAGATTACCCATTAAATACTGCAGAATAAGATAAATCACCTTTAAAGGGAAATGTTTACTCTGATATGAAGTAATTTGCATGACTTATATGAAGTAATTTGCATAGCTTATACGACATAATTGGCGCAGCTTGCAAGTCATGTGGCTGTAATAAATAAGGCGCTGAGTTCTGTATAGGAAGTGCCGATTATACACCAGGACAGGAGCAGCTAAACGAATGCACTGAAGACAGAAGAGAGCGCAACAGTGGGGAGATCCCGGAAGGCAGAGTGTGCAGGCAGGCACACCTATACCAGGGTGTGGAGGAGAGCTGAAGGAACACAGTGTTCACAAAGAGAAAGCTGACTCTTGAGATTATAATATAATTTTATATATTCTTTTGAGATTATAATATAATTACATCCTTTCCCTTTTCTCCTTCTAGACCCCCCCCAATAACTATTCTTGTTCTTTCAAATTCATGACCTCTTTTTTTCACTGATTGATGTTGCAGGCATATGTGTATATGAATATGTTTAGATATAACCTGTGCAATCTGTGTAAAGTTGCTGCGTCTGTGTTCAGTGCCGGCCGCCTGGTTTCAGGCAACAGTAGAAGCGCTCTTCCCCGGGGAGGACCATGCCCCCCACTCTCAGCATCCCTTAATTGCCTGGAGACTTTTGTGTAGTGCTGAGGCCTTGTGGTTTCCCCCATCCTCCCACCCAACCCCCAACCCCGTACACTTCGACACGTCTATTGTTGTTGTCCTTGTTCCTCTCACAATTAAACAGTCATTGAAGGGACCCACATACTGTGGGTGCTCCCCTGTGGACCCTGGTTTGGGCACAGGCCACACCCAAACACCAGTTTCCAAGCACAAACCAAACACAAAGAGGTCTTCTATTAAAGCAAGGCAGAGACAAGGTGGCTGAGTCTGAGTCGGGCAGAAACAGCAGCAAATAGTTTTGCAAGGGTCAGTTTTAAGAAAGGAAAGGGGGGCGGGGCGGGTCTGTGTTAGAATGAGCTAGGATATGTTGGTAAGTTCTGATTGGATATGTTAATTAGGTTGGTCAAAATAATGAATTTTAATTACTGAACCTTGATGTGTTTTGATAGTTGGACCTTGGCGAGCAGTCTTGGGAATAAGTCAGTGAACAAAAAAGGAATAGACCTTGGTGGATAGCTTTAGGAATGTGATCTAAAAGTTTTGAAAGGGAGAGGAAAGGGTCAGGGGCAAGATCTGTTGATGCTGTGTTTGTGGTGCTCGGGCCTGTTAGAGAGCCCTTCAGTCATGTTGGTGAGACCTTCTGGGTGTAGCTTCTGACATCCCTGGGAGACAAACTCTGCACATTCCCTGATCTTCCCACCCCCACTTCTGCTGTGTTTAGGGATCTGGAGTTGTTTTGTGGACTATCCATCGGGGCTGCACTCCACAACTCTGCCTTTGGTTTATGTTTTTCTGTGATGGTCTCTGTTGAAAAGAGAAATTTCCCTGATGAGAGATGAGGACTTGCCTGAGACTCACCATGTAGCCCAGGCTGGCCTTTTCATGTCATGTCATCAGAATTTCTGTGGCTCGCCCTTTACTTTGGTGTTCCTTGGATTCATTCTGCAAAGCCTTGATTCATTAAATCGGGTCCTGAGTCTGCACTGCAGGAGAGAGGCCTTGTGCTTGCTGGGTGTGTGTGTGCCTATAGATGCTCTTCTGTCTCAGGTTTATATTGCTCAATTTCAGGGATCTATTTTTTTCCTCTCATGTGGCTTC